GAGGAATAGGAGGCTGGCTCCTCCTCCCCGTCGGCCTCCTCCAGCTCGCTTCCCTCCCGATCCATTATTTGACTCCTCGCTCATCCTTAACACTCCTATCTTGAAAATCCGATCCGTTCCTCGGCCCGATCATCGACCCCGCGCCCGCGAGGGCGGCGGGGCAGGGGGCAGGGGTGTTTCTGGCCAAGGCGGTATCTGCAATGCAAGTGTCATCCCGATGTCATCGAATTGTCATCTGAGATGCCAGTTCGATGACATCGAGACGGCACCAAGCAGTGCAGCAGGGGTACATTGTCGGGGAATGGCGCGCAGCAGGACGAACCCGCCCGACTGGTGCCGCGTCTTCATGGGCGGCGGAGCGACGGCTGGGATCGAGGCTGCGGCGAGCCCCGGTGGCACGGCGCAGGAGCCGATCGGGCGTCCTTCTCGTCTACTCATCATCCCCCTCATCCGCCTGTCCTAGTACCCCTCTCCACCTCGAGGAGCAGCCGTCTGTCAAGAAACGGCTGAGCGCGAAAGCCAAGCACCACATGGAGGCGATGGTGACCGAGCGGGGGTACAAGCTCGGCTGGCAGGCCGAGATGCAGGACAGCGTTTTGATTTGCCAGCCTTCCCCTCCTTCTCTCCCCCCTCCTCCTCCTCCTCAGCCTCGCCCTCCTCCTCCTCCTCCTCCTCCTCCTCCGCCCTCCTCGTTCCTCCATCCTTCCTCCTTCCTTCCTTCCTTCTTCCTCCTCCTCCTCCTACTCCTCCTCCTCCTCCTCCTCCTCCTCTCCTCATCCTGGCCATAATCCCCTCGTCCTCGTCATCATTCTCCTCCGTCTCCTCCTCCTCCTCCTCCTCCTCCTCCTCCTCCTCCTCCTCAGCCTTCTCCCCAATTGCGTCGCTCCTCATCCTCCTCCTCCTCATCCTACTCCTCCTCCTCCACCGCGCCAGGGGTTGGATTGCAGGCAAGCGTCGTGGTGAAGAACCCTGGGGACAATATTTATGTCAGGGTAGGTGAGGGGGTGCGACGAGGCAGAGACGCCCATAAAGCGGCACCTAGTCTGCGCGGCGCGTCAACATCGACTCTGGCGACGCGCACCCCGAGTTCGCCCTGGCAAAGCCCGTGCACTGGAGCAAACACTTAGTGGCCATGTGGGAGGACGGCTTCCAGTGGGAGGTCACGGGCGCCCTAACTCTCCATGTCGCTCTCGCTCTTTCGGGGCGCTTCTTTCTGACTCTCCACGTCTCCCTCCCTGACGGGGCGCGTGCCGCGTCAGGGAGGGTGAGGGGATAGGGGGAGGGAGAGTGATGATGATGGAGGGTGCAGGGGGGAGGGCAGAGAGAGGGAGAGAGGGATGGGCGGCGAGGATTGACGACACGAGTGGAGAGCATACGACGAGGGCGCGGGGCAGGACGAGGAGGGATGGGGCATCCCCCCATCCAGCCCTGACCCACCATGATCATCCCTGTGCATCCTCTCCTCCTCCTCCTCCTCCTCCTCCTCCTCCTCCTCCTCCTCCTCTTCCTCCTCCTCCCCCTCCTCACTCCGCCCCCTCCTCCTCCTCCTCCTCCTCCTCCCCCTCCTCCTCCTCCTCTTCCTCCTCCCCCCCTCCTTCTCCACCTCTTAATTATTGTGTGTTGTCTGTGCGCGCCGCAGCCAGGTCACCTGCACGAATGCAGACGAGTTCAGGGACGTCGGCGGCGCCAGGTCGAAGAGCAACGAGATCTGGCGGAGCCCCGTGCAGCGGGGCGGCAAGGACGTCATTCTGAAGTGGGTGCACCGCAAGGGGAAGCCGTCCATCCTCCAAGCTATTCACGGAGGCCAGCTTACACAGATGCTGAACTTCCCCGACACCGAGGTTGGCAAAGCGGGCGCGGTCAAGTTCCTGATCAGCATGCTGGAGCGCTACGCGAAGAAGAAGCTGGAGAAACCAGAGCTCGAGGTCAAGAAGGCCGAGTACTTGGCGGCTTTCGGCGAGGTGAAGAAGAAAGGCGGAGGTGGAGCCCGCAAACGGCCCGCGGCGGCGACGGCTGGCGTGCCGCCAGAGCCAGAGACCCCGAGGATGACGCCTGCGGCTGCAAGAGATGACGATGCCGAGGACGAGGCCGAGGACGAGGCCGCTACACCAGGCGAGGAAGGCTCCGAGAACTCGTCGGAGAGCGAGGGCAAGGACGACGCCGTTGACGAGGAGGAGGAGGAGGACGAGGCCGCTGAGCTAGAGGAGTCTCCACCCCGTGCGACTGGGAAGGCGATCGCGCAGACCACGCAGGGCAAGGGGAAGGCTAAGGAGGCCACGCCGAACAAGCAGCTCAAGGGCGACCGCAGCGAGGACTTGCAGAGCGCGACCAAGGGCGAGCGCAAGACCACAGTCAGCGGCGGCAAGGGCACGCAGAAGGGCATCCAGAAGGGCATCCAGCAGGCGGAGAAGAACGTGCACCTCCAGGACAGCCCCAGTCGTCGGATGAAGCGCCCCGCTGCAGCAGTCGCAGCAGCCGCAAGCCCGAGTGGCCCTAAGGCGGCGCGGAGTTCCGCTGATGTGGTGACTGCGGCCGCACCCCCGCAGGAGGCGCTGGCTGCGCAGACCGCGGCGCCACCGTTTGCGGTGCCAGCCCCGCGTGTTGGGCTGCCCAAGCCGAGTCAAATTCCATGCGAGTTCATGGACTGGTGAATGGGGGCACATTGCACTCGCCAGCTGTGAATTACCACGAGCAACGGGCGTTCGTGCGACAGCTGCGTGCTCGGACAATGTTTGCGCTCTGAAAACGCAAACTCAGGAAACTAGCACGTGAATTGGGCATCATCTGCGGGCGCGGTTTCCCAGGGCATGTTTCTCTGGAGCGGGGTATGGCCCAGGGCGCTCGTGTGCCCAAGATCGGCGGAACACGATGTGGTGTCTCGAGGCGTGGAATCCGGTACACTGGCCCGTCGTAGCAAGCCAAGCTCGACGAAGCAGCAGCGTCATCGCGGTGTCATCGCGGTGTCATCGCAGATGACATCGCGATGACGCTGCACTCTCGGGCGGAGGGAGGCGGTGGATGTCCATGAGGTGGGGATGGGAGGATGATGATCACCGATGTCGAAAACAGGTGGTGAGCTGGCGTCATTGAAATCGTCGTCTTCGTTCGATTGTCGCACGTCACGTAAGCCGTTTTGGCGAAAGGCCCGCATGAAAGACATCGAGTGGGGACACCTTCCCAGAAGCCCTTGTCGGAGAACACTGATCGGGCGGATGCTGGCGGCGGCGCCTGCGCCCGATGCTGCGGCGGCACCGCCCGAGGCCGCGGCGGCGCAGCCCGAGGCCGCGGAGGCGCAGCCCGAGGCAGTGGCGGCACCAGGCACCGCCCCGCCAGAGCCTGCCGCGGCGGGCGTCGTCGTCATCGGCTCCGCGACGCAGCAGGACGACGCCCCGACGCAGATCGAGGGCGCGGAGACCGCGTCGCAGACGTTGAGGTACAGTGGAGCAACGGGCGAGCCAACGACCAGCGGTGGAGCGCATGACGGCTCGAACGTCCGCATCGCGGCTCGGCCCGAGCTCGACGACTGCCACGGCGGGATCGGCGGCGCTGAGGGCACAGCCGAGCACTCGGGCTCGCGTCAGCCCTCGCTCCCGCCAACACCGCCCGCGGAGGCAGAGGATACCGTGGAGGCAGAGGTGGAGACCGTGAATGCAGAGGATGCGGAGATTGAGCGGATGAGACAGGAGGCGGAGCTTCTGAGGATGAAGAAGCAGGTTGCGATGATGGAGAAGGCGCTGACTGACAAGAGCCTGATGCGTCGTCAGAACAGTGGTGGGTTCTTGAGCTTGGGACGGGCTGGCCCGCCGTCGTCGGCGACGACGCCAGCATCAGATGCGGCTGCGGTACCGCACGTCTTGGAGACGCCGAAGGCCAAGCCCAAGCGCTGCGTGACCATCAGCTCCGATGCAGACGGCAGCGACACTGATGAAGCTGGCGATGGCGTTGACAGCGACGACATCGACCTGAAGAGTGTGCTGGAGAAGTCTAAGCAGCAAGCGGCGAAGGATGCCGCCCGCAGAACCACGAACGAGGATTCAGCTTTCGAGACGCAGCTGCAGGCGGCCGTGCAGATGAGCAAGGAGGAGTTTGAGGCGAAGCAGAAGGACCAGCCGCCACCGAGCCCTCGCCACCCCGATGCCAGAGGGTCAACCGACGGCGCCCCGAGCGCGCTGCCGTCGGGCCCCGCCGCGGCGGACGAGACGGAGGAGGAGGAGGAGGAGGCGGGCCGTCACGCTCGGAAGCGGAGGCGCAAGAAGGAGGTAGAGGCCAGGGACGCAGCTGCGGCGGCGGCGCGCCCAGTGGCTGCGCCCATGACAGCGGCCAATCAGTCGGCCAAGCTGTCCTGGGAGAACGTCTGGAAGGACACGGGCCGTGTGAATAGTCACGCCCGAACCCGTCAGGAATGATGCGCAGGCGGAGGAGGAGGATGGTGATGAAGATGGTGATGATGATGATGATGATGATGATGATGATGATGATGATGATGAGGATGGGGGGCGGAGGAGGAGGCGGAGGAAGAGGAGGAGGATGAGGGGGAGGAGAAGGAGGAGGAGGAGGGAGGCGATGAAGATGCGGGTGATGACGTGGAGGGGGAGGGGGAGTGGGAAGTGGAGGAAGAGTGGGATGAGGGGGGGCGGTGGAGGAGGAAGAAAGGGGGAGGAGGATGAGGAGGAAGAGGAGGAGGCGTATGCGGAGGAGGGTGATGATGATGATTATGATTATGATGATGATGCTGATGATGATGATGATGATGATGATGTTGATGATGATGAGGATGATGATGCTGACGATGCTGATGATGGTGATGGTGCTGTTGATGATGATGATGCTGGTGATGATGATGATGATGATGCTGATTATGATGATGATGACGATGATGGTGATGGTGGTGATGATGATGATGATGATGATGATGGTGATGATGATGATGATGATGATGCTGATGATGATGATGCGGATGAAGAGGAGGAGCATATGATGAGAGAGAGAGCGCTCCCAAGGCGACCGAGTACGACACGCCCGAGAAGGTGAGCATCGTCAAGCGCGTGGAGGACGATCGGAACCAGTGTCAGCAGGCCGTTGAGGCGCGGCTGTATCCTACTTCACTCCTCGCCCCCGTCAGTCCCCCCCCCCCGCTCCGCAGAGGCAATATTGCGCGGCGGCGAGCGCCCTGACGAGCTGCGGATCGTCGACCACCTGCACGCGTTCCTGGCGTCGCCCAGCGTCGGCCACCTGATGCAGTCGAAAGGATTTGACAAATCCATGCTGGAGCCCGTCCCTGGCGCCTTCGCCGACGACGCCGACGGCGGGTCTGGCCAGCAGCAGGAGCCCGCTCTGAGCGGCAAGGATCTGAGGGAAAAGGAGTTCTGGGACCGTGTCAAGGCTGGCGGGTTCTTTTTCAAGGCCAACGCTCGGGGTGGAAATGCAATTGCGTCGCGCTTCGAGCGGGCGCGCAAGAGGAACGACGAGAAGGGGCGGCAGCTGGCGGCGGACTACGCGGCATGCGCTGGCGACGAGGAGAAGGCCAAGAATTTCAGGCAGAAGTGGGCGGAGGGCGAGTATAACACGTACGTGAAGTCCCGCACCTTGACGACCACGTACAAGAAGACCACCATCAAGACAGGGTGGTATTTACCACTGGGGCGCGTGGTCCACAAGGAGGGCGGGGGCAAGTTGGGCTGGCTGCAGGAGCGCGGAACACTCGCAAAGCAATCCTCACAATCCTCCTCATCCTCCGCCTCCTCATCAGCCTCCTCCTCCGCCTCCTCCCCCCTCCCCCTCCCCATCCCCCTCCCCCTCCCTCTCCCCCTCCTCCAGGACCTCGCCATCGTTGTTATCATATCCCTCCTTTCCCCCCCTCCTCCTCCTCAGCACCACCATCTTAATCCTCCTCCTGTTCCATCCGATTACTCGCACCCTCGGTGTCGCACTCCCCCCACCTCGTTGTCGTCGTCGTCGTCCTCCTCTTCCCCCTCCTCATCATCATCAGCAGCAGCATCATCATCATCACCATCATCATCATCACCATCACCATCATCATCATCATCATCATCAGCATCATCATCATCAGCATCATCAGCATCATCATCATCATCATCATCATCATCATCAGCAGCAGCAGCAGCATCAGCATCATCGTAATCCTCCCCCCCCCCTCATCTCCTCCTCCTCCTCCTCCTCATCCTCCTCCTCCTCCTCCTCCTCCTCTTCCTCCAAAGCCGCCGCCTCCCCCCCCCCCCCCGCCTCTCCCCTGAATCGGGCGAGGTGGTGGTGGGGGGGAGGTGCATGCTGATGAGGAGGAGGCGGATGAGGAGGACTGGAGGAAGGGGGCACGGGAGGGCACTGAGCAGAAGAAACTGTAGGGGTACGTGGGAAGATGGCATGTACCGACGACATATGCCGAGGGAGACGGACGACGACCATAGCGGGGGCGGAGAGGAGGAAGAGTATGAGGATGAGGAGGATGAGGAGGAGGATGAGGAGGAGGGCGACGACGGGACGCGGGATGATAATGATGAGGGAACTGAATATGATGGGGTGATGTTGAGGAGGAGGGAGAGCTAGGATGATGATGAGGCGGATGGGGAGGAGGAGGAGGAGGAAGAGGAGGAGGAGGAGGAGGATGAGGAGGAGGAAGAGGAGTACGGCATCGCACCCTTTCGCCGCGAGGGGTGCAAGTACATGATCAAGGCGATCCAGCTTGGCCCTCCCTGGATCGCCTACGACCCCATGACGGACTCGGGGCGTCTCGTCGTCGTCGTCGTCGTCGTCGTCGTCGCCGCCGCCGCCGCCGTCGTCGTCGTCGTCGTCGTCGGTGGCGGCGGCGTCGGCGTCGGCGTCGGCGTCGGCGTCGTCGTCGTCGTCGTCGTCGCCGCCGCCGCCGCCGTCGTCGTCGTCGTCGCCGTCGTCGTCGTCGTCGTCGTCGGCGTCGGCGTCGGCGTCGGCGTCGGCGTCGGCGTCGGCGTCGGCGTCGGCGTCGGCGTCGGCGTCGGCGTCGGCGTCGTCGTCGTCGTCGTCGTCGTCGTCGTCATGTAAATCCTACTCCGAGGAGTCGTTGCGATGCCTATACGTCATCAAAGGCTTCGTCAACACCTTCTCGCAAGCCTGGAGCGAGCACGAGCAGTGGACCACGGTGCCGATCGAGGACGACACGAGCAGGCAGCATCGCGTGGAGCAGGCACGTGACGACAATGACCGCCACCCGATTCAACCCGTCATCGCCGTGTCATCGCCGTGTCATCGCAGATGACACGGCGATGACACCACCCCGGTCGCTGCCCGATTCAGGGGGCGGCGATCGTGTATGTGCGATGACGCCGTTGCTGATCGGGTGTCGTTCATCGTCAAGGCGGCGGAGTTGGCGAAGCAGCTCGGCGTCCAGATCAAAGTGTCGTCTGGCGCCCCAGCGGACCGATATCACCCTGCTCCTCATCCTCCTTCTCCTCATCCTCATCCTCCTCCTCCTCCTCCTCCTCCGCCTCATCCTCCCCATCATCCTCTTCCTCCTCCCCCCACCCCCCTCTCCTCTTCCTCATCGGCATCCTCCTCCTCATCCTCCTCCGTCTCCTCCTCAGCCTCCTCGTCCTCCTCCTCTTCATCCTCCTCATCCCCCTCCTCCTCCTCGTCCTTCTCCTCCTTCTCCTTCTCCTCCTCCTCCTCCTCCTCCTCCGCCTCAGTCCTCTCTTCGTATTTCTCCCAATTAACGGCATTCCTCTCGAGCCGAGGAGTCTGGGGCACGCTCCAGCGGCACGGCGGTCGTCGCCACGGGGGGGGCTGTCACCGACGGCGGGGAGGTGCCCACGAAGAAGGGGAAGAAGAGCGCGCAGGCGGTGGTGGTCGCCGCGGACGATGCTGGCAAGACGACCCCCAACGGCAAGGAGCGATGGGTGACGACGACGACGACGACGACGACGATGACGGCGACGACGACGACGGCGACGGCGACGACGACGACGCCGACGACGCCGACGACGACGCCGACGCCGACGCCGACGCCGACGCCGACGACGCCGACGACGACGACGACGACGACGACGACGACGGCGACGACGACGGCGACGGCGACGTCGGCGCGTATAAAATCGGAGACTCCCAGGAGCCCAAGGCGACGCGCAAGGTCGACCAGCTGCTGGTGGACGCCAAGAAAACATTGTCAAAATATACATCTACTACCTCGTCCGCGGGGACGATCGAGCACTCTGCCAAGCACGACAGCGACTGGGCCTGGCTCCAGAGTGACGAGGACTTCAAGCTGCTGTGCGACAAGATGAAAGAGGTCAGGGGCAAGTGCACGGACGGTGGGCGCAAATCACGGGTAACCCACTCTGTGAACCACTATACACATCGACGACGCCGCCGACGACGACGACGACGACGGCGGCGGGCAAAGCATCTTGGTTTCGAGGGGGCCCGTCGTCGTCGTCGTCGTCGTCGTCGTCGTCGCCGTCGTCGCCGCATTCGTCATCGTCGTCGTCGTCGTCGTCGTCGTCGTCGCCGTCGTCGCCGCCGCCGCCGCCGTCGTCGTCGTCGTCGTCGTCGTCGTCGTCGTCGTCGTCGTCGTCGTCGTCGTCGTCGTCGTCGCGTCGTCGTCGTCGGCGTCGTCGTCGTCGTCGTCGTCGCGACCCTAGCCCCAGGACCCCTTGCTCAACGCGCTCGTCACGCAGGACGTCAGCAAGGCCAAGAAAAACATGAACGAGCGGGACTTCTCCAAGGCCCTGAACCTCCTCGCCGACATCGACCCCCAGCTGAACAAGATCGGCAAGCTCTGTCAGAAGCTGATCGCCATCAACAGCGTCAAGAACGCTCCGTCCGCCAGCGACGACGAGGATGCCCCCAAGGCCCGCCCCAAAAAGAAGGCTAGGAGTGCTGCCTAGTCGTGCGACTGGACACCGCCCACACCTGAAGGGTTGGCCAGGATCCGTTCGCACGATTGGGGTGTAGTGATCCGGGCTGTGCTCTCGGGCATGGGCGTTTTGATTGCTGGCCTGGGTAATGTGGCTGGCGCGGTACCCCCCCGACTAGTGCGTGCAGTAGTGCGACGGGGGTACCTGGCCCGAATCGCTGACAACACTCGCTTAGATCGTGAAACACTCGTCGACACCGATTTTCGACGTTCGGCGTGACACACTGACCGATGACACTCCGATGACATCCCGATGACCGATGACACGATGACACCCCCGATGACCGATGACACCCCCCCCGATGACATGCACCAAACCCTGTGTTTTACTATGAAATCGCACCGATGACCGATGACACCCATTCGAGCGACAGGCACCGATGACATGACCGATGACGCGATGACCGATGACATGACCGATGACATCCCGATGACACCCTGCTGGCGCACTCGGCACAACCAAAAACACACGCTGGTGCTGTGTGTGCACTACTTTGTAGGGTTGCTCGAGTGCAATGCCGTGCACCTCGTGTGACCGCGCTCGTGTTGCACTGGCGCGCGAGCGCCGAACCGCTCTGGCGGGAGGGAGGTTATCGATTCGGCACATTAGCATGGGGTTGGGACTGGTGCGCCATGCATAATCCCCAGCGGGTGCTCGGGCACCTCCTCGAGTGCAACGCATGTCTTTCGCTTCTGGCAGTTTTTGGTATTCAGCCGAAGCTCGACGGGCGAATCCATGGGCGACAGGGAGTCGAGTCTGCGAATATAGTCGATGAATCGGACCACGCGTCTTGATGACTATCGACTCCCCGTCAGCCGTGAGGTATTGCCCGTGCGCGGTGATTCACGGTGGGCATGTGCCCCGACGATTCTGGACATGTGATTGGACACGTCGCGATCGCTGCTTGCGCGTGCGTTCCTTGCGATAGAAATCTGTCATGCCGTGCCGTGCCGCGCTGCGAGTGGCCGCCATAATGCGAAATGCATGCCGCGTCGTACTGTGCCGTGCATGTTGGTCAAACTGCGAACGCCTGCAATGCCGTGATGTGCCGTGCCTGGCTGTCAGAATGCAACAACTTGCAGTGCAGTGCCGTGTCTGTTGGGCAAGACGCGGGACATGTGTAGTTGTGCCGTTTCGTGCCGTGCATCCTCCTCCTCCTCCCCGTCTTTCTTCTCGTCTTCCTACTCGTCATTCTTCTAATCTTCCTCTCGGGAGGGGTTCGACGACGACGACGACGACGCCGACGACGACGACAACGAGTCTGATGGGCAACGGATCGATTGCCTACGGGCTGGACGTGCGTTCCCCTGCATCCCTCCGCTCCCCCATCTCCGCACTGGCATCGGCGTCTGTCGTGCGCGCCAGCGAGGGGTGCGACCCATCCCAGGCGTCTCTCGGGGGGCGGCTGCAGTGGAGGCCAGTGCCCACGTATCCCCGTCCCACTTTCTCTCCCCAGCATAGTTGCCCCACCTCCTCCGCCGCGTCCCCTGCCTCATCCACCTCCTCCAACTTGAACTATTCCTCCTCCTTCAACCTCGCACTCCTTCACCTCCACCCCTCCCTATGTGTCGGCATCGCCAGGTTGCGTGCTGTCGTCGTTATTAGTGTCGCCAGTGTCGTGAACAGTCAAAATCGTGCAATCGCAGACTGGCGCAGGTAGCATCAGTTGCCGTCGCACACGTGCTGTTATGCTCAAATGTGCAAGCCTCGGCCATGCCGCCAAAACGGAAGCACCAGCTGAAAGGGCGCCGCCGCCAGCCGTGCAGCGG